AGTTTTCAGAATGAATGGAGAACGGGGCTTAAGCGAGGGAAATTCTAAAGGAATAGAACCTCAAGCAGGGAGCAGTAGTGCTGTGCTGTGCTGTGCTGGCCCAAGTCATTGCACTCGCCGCTCTCAAGGAGAAGGACTTTTCCTTTTCCCGTGTAGAAAGCCAACAGCTGCTTGGCCCAGTTTTTCATGTAAAAACGTTTCAAAGTTCGTTCTGAAACGCACTCGTCGAGGCGTGGCCTGAACCGATATCCACCCACTCATATCATATGCAAATGGTGGGCGAACTGGGCGGCGGCAACCCTCGAGGGACACACATGTACCTTCACTGCCCTAACAGGTGACCCACTTATTTCACAAAATGTCACTTGTTTTGGGGACTGTAATTAATTGTTAAGGACATGCTTTCTACTCCACAAACTATGACTTGCATAACTATTTGATGTTGAGGTTGGTTTGTGCAAAGAACTCGTAGAAATCATTTCTTTAGTGAGGATTTTGTACTTTGTTGTTGAATTTTGCAAGTTTTTTATTTTGCCTGCTTGGAAATAAGTTTTATTTGAAAAAAAGAAAGACTTCTTCGAAGTAAATTTTATTTTAGTTTTTGCATACATTTTTATCCATACATTTTATTCAAGAACATTTAAGTGAATTAATTTCCAATTTAATACGGAGCATCGGAACTACATTTAATCGAATCAGCAGCATGTCGGATGGCATGTCTTGATGTTGAAAGCAGAGACCGACTAAAACTAAATTAGTTGCACAACTTTGTTATCTCAAGTTCCTTTCATGAGGATTACTTTCGTAGCCGCACCGCACACTTGATTCTATTATAATCTTGAATGATCCCATGCTTATCGAACGGGCGGTGGGTGACTGACTAACTTTTGTGTTCATCCCCCCTTGTGACTGCCGCCTGAAGTACGAACAGAAAACAATTTAGTTTTCCACGAGTCGTCCCGGTTGAAGCTAATAACTTGGTGGGGGTGGGAGGGGTGCTGGTGGATCGTTTGGGTGTAGTGGAAAATTACTTGGAAACCTCAAAAGTTTTCCCCTTTTTGCTAACTGACGTAAATTGCATAAAAGCATTACGTGTGTGCCAGTCCGCGAGAGTCGACTCGGAGACTTGACCCAAACGTTGTTGCTGTTGCACTTGCGTCACTCCACGCACCCCACACGCACACACACACATATTTTTGTACAACATTTTGTGGCATGTCTTTCGAGGTCTGGTCTGCCAATTGTCGCGGCGATTAACCCATTGTGCCGAATGATTAGCACCAAAAAATGCTTAACACCTGTTTGGCACGATTTAAATGCTTAATCAGCGTAAAACGAGCTATTTTGTGCCTCTAATTGAGTTGTTTATGTCTGCGTTTTGGCAACGGTTTTCAACTGACATTCGCCCCGCAGCCAGACGACATGTTTTATCTGCACTAGAGTCGAATAGAAGGAAAAATGAGAGGAGATTAATAAGAGAGACACACACACAGAGAGAGATGGAGAGACAGACAGAGAGGGGGATATACTAATACAGTGCGTTTCTGTACTCAAAGGTAGTTAAAAGTTTAGAAGTCGAAGCTAAAGAACGAAGAGTTCTTTTTATAGAAACTTAGAGAATTTATGAATGCAATTGAGTTGCATTTTGGCAGCCAAAAATAAAACTTTTGATTTCGAAACTGCTTTATAGAATCGGTTAAATATTGTAAAAGATTTATTTTTATTTTATTTATTAAAGATTCACAGCTATCTGCTATTATGTCATGGAAATTATTTGAACAAGTAATAAAAGCATCATCGCTTAGGAATTATATATTGTGGCAACGCGCTGTATGACCTGGCATTTGGTGCACTCACTTTCTGTCTCATTTGACCTCCGTTATGTCAACATTTCTGTGACATTTGACGCTTTTCTCAGCTTCTTTTGGCTGACATCTCGCGACACTGCGACATGACATCGTGTCGGGCCATTAGCATAAACGTTTTAATTAGCAGCCGACTGGACTCTCCTGAGAGTTAATCGATTCATGGCGCAACATTTCTGTTCTCTGGTCGCTTCAATCACAGTGCAGCCCACAGACGGGGCTTAGTTTTGTGTCGTTGTTGAGTTTGGTTAAGTTTAGTCATTGTAAACTGTCCAATTGAATTCAATTGAGTTGCGCTCCGTTTGATTTCATTAGCTTAAATTGGGTGTATTATAACATTTAGATAAGTCGACTCAAGTCCAGGGGCTAATAGTCATTCACAGACTGTTAATAACTCTATATACATACATACGTGTTTATACATACATATATTGTATGTACATACTTGTATATACTTGTTGACTTTAAATTTGTTTGTAGCTGCGGCACCTTGAGAAAACTAGACATACTCGTAGCATAATATTGACATACATATGAGAACTGCACATCAACGCCAGTCGAAACGAATCGAAACGAAGCGAGTTCTCAATTGAACTGAAATTCGCTGTAACACAAAATGGAAACTGTTTGGGCAATTAATGAGGCTTAAGTGTTTTGATATTTTATTCGAGGAATAGCGGCAGTGCAGTGGAGTTCTCTATTTGCAGGCTTATTATGTGATTCAGATAAGGGATGTCCATGGGGTGGAAAAGGTTCGCTCAATTAATTAATTATTGGATAAGATACTTTGTTATCGGAACAGGTACTTTGGTGTGACCCCGATATGAAGGATGGGTGTCCCAAAACTAACTTTAGTTCTTCGCCTATTGAAAGCATTATAGGAGATTATTAAATGTAAAAAAAAATGTATTTCAAGCAAATACTTGTTAATTATACGGAAAAGTGACCCCAAACAAACACTTAATTATTCAATGGTGACCCGAAAAAAATTTCATATCATTTAGGCTGCAGGATGAATATTTGCAGATTATGTGATGAGCTTAATCAATGCGTTAAATGTGTATAACGGTGTCGATATATATATCGCTTTTATTCACATTTTACAAATGAGATTTAAATTAATTGAAACCTAACAAAAATATGATTTCTGGACTACCATGTAATTAAAACAGCAACAAAATGTAACCCACTTTTTTTGTTGTCATTTTTCTTTTGACTTTGACATCTCAGACATTATCAAGAAACGTTCCATATTAATTAGAAGTCGTTTCAGGCCTATGTATACGAGTACTCGTACTACACATATTCTTATCTACTTAGCATAGCAAAGTTCACTCTTGAACCGCCTTGGATACTCACTCGACACACACACACACACACACACAACCTGTCGTCTAGCCTCAAAACTAAAGTGACGGCAGCCGTCGTTCGCCTGCGACACCTTCTATCGGACATCAGAAATCAAGCAAACGCAGCGATCTATCAGACATGTCTGTCTCCCTAGCAAGCACCAGCACCAGCCACAGGCCCCCCCGTCACCGCTAGTCCTCTGTCAAAGCGCCCCAAAGTAAAATGTGGTTCTGGCTTTTTGACGAGTAGCCTGCAGTTGACGGGGGAAAATCATTAAGAGTGTCAAATGAAACTGACAAAAAAACAAACACGAAAACAAATAAAAGGGCAGAAGTGTTTGTTGGGTGGTGTTGTTTATATTTTACTTGTACTCTTCTTAGTTTTGTGTTCTGGTGTTTATTTTTCAATGCGTATGCGCTCAGCATTTCATTCGAAATTTGCAATTCAATTTTCTATTTTCTTGGGCGTTCATTTCGTGCATGCGAATTGTGACAAAAACAGAAATAAAAACATTTCTGAGTAATTGCCGACCCGACCGTTGAGTGCTGCTAAAGGGGAATTGAGACTAAAATTGTGGTTATATCACAGAAATACTTAAGGATAAATAGCCAGTGTAGCCAGGGTAGCCAGGTGGTCGTCTTAGAGGGGATGATTGCAGTGGAATAATCTAGTTGAATATTAAGTATACGCAAAGTTCGTCTCCGTTGATTGGCTTTATAGTTTAAACTGTTGGTACGAATGGGAAGATTATACTAATTCATTCAGTTTGAGGGTGAATTTATTTTAATTTATTACAACATTTTGTTGTAGGGTAATTTCAAATGTATTTTCGAGCTAGTTTGGCATTTACTTAAACGGAATGATGACATAAGTAGACTTTGAACGCTGTAGTGGCAGGTCCTATAGAACCTTTCGCCTCGAAAAATTGTTGGTAGTTTTTACCATTTCTATCAGTAGCCAAATATTTTTTAGTATTTTATGGGATTTGATTTTGTAGCAGTTACTTTTCTTTTTGTATTTTCTGCAATTTTTAGTATGTTTGGCTGTGCAAGATTTTACTCTACTTATTTATTATATTTTTGCTTAGTATCCGCTTATTTAATATATTTTTATTAAGTATCTTCTTATTCAGTCATCTTCTTTTGAAGCTATATCTCTCAATCCTTATCTGATTTATCCCAAACGAAATTTACTAAAATGTATAATAAAAAATCAGATGAAATTGTTTATTTAAATAAATTGCTTACCAATTCGTAGTATATTATAAGCGAGGATAATGTTTATGGCAAAATGAAATATTTGTGCCGGTTTTTCTCATTCTCAGTCTCATGTTCAGATTTCTGTTTGGTTTAATTAGAAATCAAACCGGCTGCTGCTGTCAGCGGCCACCCTCAGCAAAAATCAGACTGCCGCCTCATACAATGTACGAGTGTACATATGTACAAATATATATACATAAATATGTATATATATATATATATTATAAATCTGGCAAGTTGGCTTTTTTTTTATGGCTGGCCCCGCAATTAATGCCGGGCCAAGTATTTTATGGGCCAATGGCGCCTTAAGTATTATCTACAATTAACATTTGTGGATGGGTCATGTCATTGAACCGATTACGATTTTGGATATCCATTCGAAATGGCAAGGATTCCTTCCACAATGATATCTTGTCTGATTGATTGATGTTGATTGACTAGGCGAATTGATTGTTTATGCAATTGGAAAACAATCGGAATGAAATAATAAACAAATTTCCACCCTCTCGTTTACGTTTATTTGCAGACTTGGAAGCGCGCCGCCTACACCTTCAATTTGATTATATAGTATATCACAGCTATGCTCTCGCTGTATTTGTCCTAAATTGTTCATAATAATGAATTCTGCGCGGCATCATCGTATTGGAGTATTTCTGTCTCCATAAGTTTGCTAAGAAACACAGCAAAAATTCAACTGAAAAAAAAAGAAAAGATTCCAAGCAAAAGAAAAAAATTAAAATAAAGGAACATAAAAAATACTAAAAATCAAAAAAAGGAACAAAAATTTCAAAAAAAATCAAAAGTAACAACAAAAATTGTATAAATATATAAAAGTTTTCTAGTCAAACAAAAAAAAAAAAAACAACGAAGGAGATTTACACATCAACTGCCCCCCAAAACAGAAACAGAAACGGAAACCTGAATTGAGGTCTTGGAGTGGTCTCTGAGCCAAAACCCAAATCAAAACAAAAAAAAATTGACAGCGCCGGAAAGTGACCCAAAAGGAGGGGGACACGACTGTAAAACTGGCCAAAAAAGATGCCATACCATCGGAGTGGAGACGCCTCGGCACAGGCCGACAAATTGAGCGGCATTGTGGAGGAGAGCGATCTGTATGAGGGGTTTGCACCGCATGTCGAGACCTCGGAAATCAAAACCCTTGACTTTTACAATCAGCCCAAGCCATCCGGTAAGTCAAGACACTGTCCTTTTTTTTATATATATATATTATATAAATACTTTTGGGGGCTTAAGAAAAGTGCTCTAAAAATGGTCAGCTTTTCATTAAAACTGTCCCTTTAGAATGTGTAAGGGAAAACATATGTAAATTGGTTTCAACCCCTTTTCAGCGGGACTTTAGCGAGATATTTATTCACATCACCAAACACGTTCGCTATTTGAGATAGGCCTCATCAATATATTTCTACAAAATGTCCAATAAATCCTGATAGTCCAAATCAAAATACTTATGTACATAAAACGACACCTGCACGAATTTCGTCTCGGGCTTCACAGTGTACTCATCCATGCTGTACACTTAAAAATCAACATAATTAATTTTTATAATTTAGGCCTTATCCAAAAACCATTTGTTTATAAATATCAATATCAGATATTAATGAGAAAAAAACAATTCCAGTATCATTTTGATTATTATAACCTTTCCATTTCCTCTCATCAATGTTAAGTATATCTTTTGTTGTTTATAAATGCAAAAGATATAAATGAGAATTGATGCAAATAAACAAGCTAAATTCCAACAATAAATATACAGAGTAAAAGCCCAAAATCAGTGATTAAAGTTAAATGATCTACTTTTTTGGGAAATTCAGACAAAAACAAATGAAATTGGCTCAGGGGGTCGTAGATTTTAACGACTCTTCAGGTACCGTGCGGTGCCCACGCAAAAAAAAATCATACATATCATATGATTCACAGACGATCCTCGGGCACATGTGATTTTGTTATTGAGTAGGAAATTTTAATTTATATCTTTCCTTGCCGTAAAGAATATTTGTTTTCTTTTTAATTACGTTTCGTGCAAAATTCGAGTACATTAATCAGAAGATCTAAAAAAACAAACATTAATTATGGGCATTTGCAAAAATAATCAAAGCCAATAATATTTCCTCTCTACAGTCTCCTGCCCCCAAAGGCAAAATCCCCAACGGGTTTATTTCTCGACCAGCAGTTTCTTTACAGTTTTTTGGTTGTGTTTTTTTTTGTTGGCTATTACAGCACGCAAGCGTAAAATAAAAATATTTATATTTATTTATGAAAAACCCGACGGCAACCGCCTGTCAAATTAATGCAATCCGCTCTGTGCTTTGTGTAAACATCGCCAGGGCAGCAAAATATTTCATTTAAATACAGGGAGTCGTAAATGACGGCAACAGAAAGAATTACAGATATCGAATTGGTTGGGTTTTTGGAAAAAGGTTGCAGGGGAAAAATATCGGAAGACTCTCTATAACTTATAGTGTATGCCCTATATGAGTAAATTCTTCTTTTTGTTTACGCTTTTATTTATTCAATCCAATTTTCGTTCGGAAAAATGGAATTCTTTCTGTTTATTTGTGTTTAAAAATGCAAATTGCAATTTACATACGTGTATGATTTTTACAACGAAATTTCTGCCCTTGCTCGAACATTATTTATACAGTAAACCGTTTCCGAGAATTTCCCCACTTAAACCAAACATCAAACAAACAGAAGAAAGCTTATCAATCTCGAAAGATACACGATTCGAAAAGGGTACAAGAAACCAGAAAGTGTTGACCCAAATTGTGCAAACAATAATATTGTCGGATAGATACGGTACACATGTTTTTACATACATATGTATGTACCGAAGAAAAACCAAAGCAAAAGTGATATGTGTATAATTGCGTCTTACGATTGCCAGAAAAACTGCAAATTCGATTTATTTCCACGCGAGTTATACCATCAAAGCTAATTGCGTTTAACAGCTTTACACAAATTCTGTTTACGCTGCATTCGATTATGGTTTATGGTAGGACGAATGAATATGGATATTGAATATATTCGTGCCCGCATGATTTAGAATGGGTTCGAAAGAGAGGCGAATTATGAATTATGAAACTACGAAATAAAAATACTACGATTAAAATTATTATAAGCTGTTAAACATATAAAAAAAAAAAATCGTAAACTTAAAAGATATGAGAACTTTCCCATACTAATTTTTTCAACAATTTCCGCCTCCAACTGCAACTCCTTGTACCACCCTCGTTGTGGGCTAACGCGCTTGTCAGAATGCCAAATGGCAAAATCCACTAAATGCAATTTCAATTCCAAATGCAATCAGGCAATCCCAGCCAATCGAACCATTAGTGGGGCACTCTACCATCTCCATCCGCGTATTCCCATATCCCCATATACCCCGTATCCCTAACGTCAATATTCCTCCCTCGCGACGGCTGTCGACATCGACATTGGCCTTGATTTTGATTTACAAAATAATATGCCTGTTGTACACAGAGCCATTACGAGTACTATATGCATATGGATAAATGGATAAAACCCAATTATATATATGTATATGAAAGAAATTTGTACTTTCCGAAACGAACCATTGAAAATTGATTATTCGAATAAAATCACGGCACGGGTTCCTTTCGGTTACTGCGTAGGTTGATTAGAATATCCATTGGGTATAGCCCCCTTTTTCGATATTATCTATATTTCATAAATAAGATTTAATATTTTATGCAGACACCGAGATGATTCTCTCGTGGGCACCGCTGTGAGTGGGCAAACAAATAAAAATATTCACGTTTTTATGGCACTCTTGGCCAGCATCCAATTAATTTGTTTATAAATAAATGCAAAATTTTTCATCATCACTTTTCCTCCTGTTGTGGTTTTCTGCTTATGTTTCTGGCTTTTTGATACAAGCTTTTTTTCCCCAATTTAAATCAGCTGCGGAGATTGTGATTGGGAATGGGGATAATGGAATAAAATAGGTTCTTTCACAGCAGAATTATGGGAGCAATATTTTCTATTTATTTTCGCTTATTTGTTTGAATTAATTAAAAAGAAAAATATGCGCTGCAAATGTGTACAAATATATTTAAATATATTCTGTTGTCTGCTTAATTTAAAATCCCAAAGAAGAATCTTACAAGGAATATCTACACACATTTGTTAATATCTTCAATAAGTTTTTGAATGCAAAAGATTAATAAATGAAAATTTTACAGATAAAATACAACAGAATTCCACAAGAGACACACCAAATGAAAGTCTCTGACTGCTGTCAAGTATGATCAATCGCATCTGTGGAACACATATACTAATCTATCTATAGTCGTACATTTTTAGCTAATATTAAATATCTTTAAATATTTTTGTTGGTTGTATTTTCTGTGTCGCACAGGCCACGTGCCATCTGCACCAACAATTCTGAAAGAAATCATGATTTTTATGGCTTTAAATCAAGAATTTATTTGTTGTTTGTTAGCAATAATAACATTTTTGCTTACGCAAACGAAATGGAAACAGAATATTCTTCCCCAATTCTTCCCCCGGTGACGTGCAACAACGTACGAACCCAATAAGAAAATACGTTTCTGTTTTGCTATTTAATGCCAAATGAAATTATGTTTTGGGCAAAAAATACAACACAAAATCGGGAGGCATAAATTTAAATTTTTTAGGAATTTTTAATGATCCACTTGTGCGATTGGAAAATGTATTTTCCAAAAAATAAAGAAATATTTTGTATTTCGGATGAAAAATTTTCCATTGGCATCAGGCGATTTTCTATTTATATATGCATATATGTACATATATATTTTGTTGTGTATGAGTAATTTTGGATAGTCCCAATAACTGTTTGAAAATTTGTGGGGCGTGTGCCTCACTGACACCTTCTTGCCCCATCTGCCTGAGCAGAAAGCACGTGCTGCCGACTCTGCCTCTGAAAATATGCGAAAAGTGTGCCTCGAAAGATTTTTCTCAGCATTCTGTAACCGACTCAAACTGGTTTTTGCGAATTTCTTTCAGCAATTATACGCTTTCAGAGGGTAACATGGATTTTGGCAGATATACACATATTTGCAATACAAAGACGGAATGCATGTTGATCCTTATAGTACACTACTTATGTATCAGTATGAATCACTATATCATGAACGTATGTAGTTAATCTTTTGGGTGCCATCGGTGGCAAGACAAATCTGTGTGAGAAAAATGTTCTTGGTACAAAAAATATTCGAATCAAATTAAACGAACGATCATAGGATAGAAGGATGATAAAAGTGAATTAATATAGGGACGAGTCGAACGAATGGTCGTTGGACTGATCATTGGAACGAAATCTCTTAATACCGCCCGATCTCGCAGGGTAGCTGCAGCTTCGTCTTCCCTAAAGCTAGCTTTTCTGTCAGGTTTCGTTTATTTATATTTCGTTTCGTTTTCTTGTTGTTCCCTACTCTGTTTTGGTTTTGTCTTTATTTTTAGTTAATTTCTGTTGTTATTCATTTTTAAGAGGATTCTTCAGTTAATTTCTTTGCAACTTGTATATCTTTTATATATGTATGTATGAAAGTCAGTCGCTCGCATATTTCATAGTCAGCAATTTGTTGTTCTTTTTGTTTGTGGGGCTATACATTTTTGATGTATAATTCATTGGGATTTTTGGTGTATTTTTGTGTATTTTTGTTGATTCATTCTTGGCGCATCTTTTGACCGATTTGACCGCTGAACCAGAATGAAAGTAAAAATAAAAAAAGAGCGCAGAACGAAACCTTTTGAGAATCTTTTGTGGGAGTTGCTAACTGAATTTTCTTGCATTTTATTTGGTTTTATTTGAGAGGTAAACTCGTTTCTGATAAGATTAACACAATTAAAAAATTATTAGGCTTGAAGGAATATTTCGTGTCATGCGCATATTTTTTTTTTTATCAAATTTACATAGTTCTTTTGCATATTTCTTGTATAGAAATTATTAGAAAAAAATGGAATATGTATGATTAGTAATAAAATCATATTCATCACATCCATATCTGTCAGCGTGAAAATCTTTAGCTTTTATGCTGAATATTCTGTGTTAAAATAAGCCTGAATCAGAACCAGTTTCAAAACACTATTTGTTGCGATAAATCAATGTAAATATAATTTTTGCAACATTGGCTCACTATCTCATCAATCATCAATCAATGCTGT